TTAGTGCTGATCCAGAGGTTTATCTCTGTCATCCAGTTGATCTATCGCCCTGACTTTTTAGGAAATTGAGCTTTTCTGGTCCGTGAAAAACACTCTTCTAAACGGGATTGCCTTGCTTTGATGAAAGCACAGCCCATTCTTTCCTTTCTAATCAAAACCTCCAAATTTAAACTGCAGGTCACTTTTTTTTGTTTTTTATATATCACCCCAAAACTGCCCTGATGAAACTCCGGCTTGTCGCTTCATATCACCCTTTAATGAATACACAAGTTGGATGAAATGATGTTAGCTTGAGCTGTAATTTCCTTCTTCCATCAGGGGAAGGAGGGAGCTACTCATCATACGGGGCAAGCTTTAATACACTCATCTCAATAGATATTAACCACCCGGCGATTGCAGAGGCAGTCAAACACTTGGGCCGTTCATTTCAGATGAAGGCAGGAGATTTCTCCACTTCGCTCCACAAATGTTTACCCATGAAATTGCAATAAGATGAAATGTGACAGATCAGCAGTGTCTGAAAGCGGTTTTCTGTCAAAAAGCTAACGTTGCGAAAAGACCTTTTCGGATTGATTATGACAACTCTGGTTCTTTTCTCGTTTCAGAATCACGCTGCCACGGCTGCGTGTTAAAACCACTCATTACTTTTCATTTCAATCTCTTTACGATCCAGCTCAAGATTTAGCATCCTAATTCTGTTATAAGGCCGATTCTGCCTACTTTAATTAGACGGATACCTGTCCAGGTTTTATACGTATTTATCCAAGGAAACGCAAATATTGATGAGGAATTGAATTAACACATCACAGGCATCTATAGCATCAAGTCGTGTGACACATTTCAACATCCAGCTGTGAGGGTGAACAAAGCTGTAAATTTCTTTTGTGCGAACAAAAACACAAGTGGACAATGAAAGGTAACCTGAGGTAGATGATGTAATCTCTCTAACCATTCCCATAAGTAAGCCCAAAGCCTCACTGGGATGGAAAAATCCAAACACAGCAAGCCGTGCAAAAAGAGCCGAGGCTGACGGGAGGTGACCTGTGTTTCTGCCTCATAATTAGACCTTACCCCACTTTCTCTCCGGAAATGCTAAATAATGTTCCTGCAGCTGCTTGTCACTAATGCAACGTGGCACAGGTGAGGTCTGGAAGCGAGCAAAGCAACGCTTTTTGAGTGCGCCAGTTGTTTTGTGCGTCCGGCTTTAAAGCTGAAGCTCTTTAGGGTTTAGCCCCCATCAATAAGGGCAAAGTCTCTTTCTCTGTTGTTGTCGGGGAAGATTGACCTGAATTGTAAATCAGATAGATATAAGCCTACATTTACTCCTATGAAGAGCGGGATTTCAAAAGCCAGCCTTCTACAGACCGTCCCGCAAGCTAATAGTGTGGTAAGTTTTTAGAAGATTAAATTTATTTTCTGAAATCCTGTGATCTGTTTTTATTTATACACAATTCCCTCCTCACCATTGAAACTATTGGAGCTGCTGACCGAATTCTGGATCTGACAATGACAACAGGCTGATTTAGATTGTGTCGTACTTTGTTCATTTTACCAGCCCCCAAATAAAAAGTGACTTCTTCACAGAAGACCAGTGAACACGGACTAAAGAAACCTGTGATGTATGCAACTAATTAACAAAATAATCATTTTTTTAGGCTCTTCTGAAGTAAAATGCAAATCTGCATCTTTTTATCCAATTCAAAAATTTCCACAAAAAAAACCCTACCGCTGGAATGCTGTAATTACTCTCGCATCCTTGTTATTGACTTAAGCGAGGGCTCCGAGCTGCCGACTTGCTATCAGCCGCTATCTTTCCTTGCCGCTCTTTCAGCCATTAGTTTATAATTCATGCTTTCACACTCTCAAGGCCTCACGCTCAAAGCGATGGCATTGCTCTGTGGCAAAAAAGCTTTCGCTTTCAATGTGTCGACAGCTGTACATTCACTGATAAACAGAAACGCTGACAAATTGAGTGCTCCCTCACACATACTGCAGGTGTTTGAACAAAAATCCAAAAAGAAGGGAATGAAAACGCTCCCTTAGGAGTGTAGGTGCAAATTACACAGCAGTGCAGTTTTACATGAAACTTCATACATTTTTAAAGTTTTGAGAAGAAAGAGCGACTCTGAAGGGGCTCTTGTGATTGGCAGTTCAAATAGACATGTCTGACCATAGTACTTGAAAACTGAAGCCAAATAGTGAATATAAAGGTGATGCGTGATCAAGGAAACAGAAGCTGGAGTTGCTTGTAGTCCAATCGGCAGCACAGATTTCTTAAGCGAGATCAGGCCTGAGGGTTTAAAACTGGCTCAGCGTCTATGACATTTAGTAGGAGAATGTAAAAGCACAATACAAAGTTGTTCAATGTGCTGAAACTCGTATATATTCCTCGCCGACTGCTGAATAGGCAGCGCAGTACATCAATAACAAATTGAACTTGAGGTCAGGCAGGGAGCTCCGCACATGACTGCCTCTTTACATAATGCATATGAAGTCTATTTCATCTCGCCTTCGGTGTGAATAATCTCTCGAAATTAGTTTTCATCAGTGTTTCATTTTGAAGCGTTATTGACCCGCATGGACAAAATGTACAAGGTCGATTCGGGATTCCTTGTTTGGGAAAGAAGAAAAAAAACGCTTCATTTTCACTTGAATTCCTAGAAGGCCGCTGTCGCCACGCGGAGCGCAGCTTTCTAGCACGAATCCCCCACATCTTCTCCCCAGCGTCTCTTGATGCGGCCCCGAGGCCGTGCTACTTCTCCTTTTCATCACTGAGCTGTTTTTAACGCACGGCAGGATGAGAGTCCGACTCCAAATGAGTGTCCTAAATCTCAGCTCATTAACTCTCAAACCACATAATTCTGTGCCCGAGTGTCTGCAGCCTTGTGTGTGTGTGTGTGTGTGTGCGAGAGAGAGAGGGAGATTATGAGCATTATAATTCAGCCTTGTTTATTTGGTAATCTGTCTGTGTGAGGATTTGGGAAACTATCTTCACAGCGCTTCCATCAGGCGGCATGTGAATTCAGACGCCGAAGACGGTTCAGTCGCTGGACGCCGGCTTACCGACGGCAGTAAAGAGGAGCTAAAGTGCTGATTGTATTCCTGCAGTGAAAGTAATGACGACGGATGCAAAGTTGAAGATGCTTTGGTCCCGTCTTTAGGAGATCTCCGATGTCAGCGTTGGTTTGTTTTGTGCTCAGCGAGACTAAAATGATGTGCAATATCTCTGTGTGCTTACCCCATATAGATTATCATTCACTCTAATATTTGCCTTCTAATCTGCACAATTAATCTTTGTATCAAGACCCCACCTTTTTTTCTGTCATTTCATGTTTTTGTCATCACTGGAATATTTATTTTCAACAAACACTCCATATTACAACAGTCTAAAATGCTCTTTTCATTATATAGTTTGTATGAGTTTGCTTTGAAATATAATGTTGTAATTTCCCGTGTTTAGTTATTGTGGGGATAGAAAGCAGACGAATTAAAAGTATTATTATGAAATGGTTATTTGACAGAGAGGAAGCCAGTTTAAAGACCCCACATCTGGTGTGAATTGTTGGTCTTAGTGAAGACTCGAGCAGCAGCCTAATTTTTTCACTGATATCTGTTAAGACACGTCGCCATTGTCGAGTCACTTGGAGATGAAAGTATGGATACTTTTTTATGAACCAAACTGAGCGATAAGTCGCTTTGTTCTTGGAAAATTCTTACGGTGATGGTTTTCTTTCAAATTTATAAAGAAAAAACTGAATAGAGAGCAATTTCCGCCTCGGTCTGTTGTTGACTTTTAATCTTTCCTTCCAGGCACCAAAAAGCTCTGTTTTGTCTTTTTTTAATTGAACAAAATTCTGGCCCATCGAATAATTGGATTATTTTAATGCATTCGCAGAATGCTTTTATTGGAAGATATCTAATAATTATAGTAACTTATATTGTTGTTTTGATCCAGTGGAGGCATTTAGATGTAAAAACAGAAGAGGTCCAAGAACTGAACCTTGGGGATCTCCGCATGTAATTTTGGCCTCCTCAGATGGCCAAATCCATAAAGACAGTAATTGCTGGCCTTTAATAGTTAGTCAGAACAGTTTCCAGTTGCTCCACTAATAGCTAGTGTTCTAGTGTTACTCAAACCAAAAGTGTTAAAGGGGATGTGGTTGAAGACCTTAACAAGAGCAGTCTCAGTGCTGTTGTGTGCTTGAAAACCTAATTGGAAAATTCAAACAGTTGATAAAATGATAAATGCTGAGTTTAAACCTCTAATAGAGTATTTCAACAGCGTGTTATTGCTGTGTTTGTATTCTCCTTTCAGTGCTAAACATTTATAATAACAGCTGCAGCTAAGTAGCAACATATGTTAATATCTTAAATGCAACAGCCATGGCAAGAAAAAGCTTTACATCGCCGCTGCATTTATACTGTATCTGCTTACTGATATTTTGACCACATCAATGAAAAAGGTTCTTAGCCGGTGCCTTGCTCACTGGCTATTCCTCGGGTCAGGAAGTGGTGGAGAAATTCCAATCCAACAATGGTGTCTTTGACAGCCGGGCCACCCTGCTCCACAGCCCCGTTAAAAAGGACCTTGGACTGTCCCAGGTCAGGCAGGTCGGGGAAGCACTTTGCCAAAACAGACCTTCACTCTCCATACAATAAAACGGTCTTAATCAAGCGGTGTAATGGCTGCTGGGGGGCCCCCCACCGCCCCCTCGTCTGTGTTGGGGCCCTTGTTGCGAGAGGCTAATGGGCGGAGACCTGTTAGTGTGCCTTTTTTTGAAATCCTTCCAGGTCCCCGCTGAGATGCGTGCTGCAGAAGAAGTAGGCTGGGGACGCACGCACACACACACGCTGCAGCGCCGCGCACACACACACACACACACACACACACAAGCTGCAGCGCCGCACACGCACACGCGCACACAGCAGGAGCGCTATTACCAGGGAGGGGGGGGTTGGCACAGAGACCGCGACCACACTGGTACGTCTGATCAGTGCGTAATACTGCTGAAACTTGTGCGCAGAGGGGCGGATAGACGCATCTAGCTCGTCAAAGATAGTGGATTAAATTCACGCTTTCTTTTATTCCCCCCCCCCCCCCTTTTTCTCTCCTCCTCCTCTTCCTCCTCCTCTTCCTCCTCCTCTGGTTTCGTGTTACAAAGCCTTGGGAGGGAGTTGCGTGGAGAGCCAGTTCCTCTGTGTGGAGACCGAATGACAGGATCATATGGCTCGATGTGCGTTATGGTCCAAACCATTTGAAAAGAAATAGCGGAAATAAGAAGAGACAAAGTGCCGGCGAAATCCATGTGAAAGTGGGGAGGATGTGGAATAACTCGTAACTCCGATTCGGAAACAAATCCGAGATAACGGAAAAGCAAGAGAGGGGGGAGAGGATCGGCCGTCAGAGAAAGACGGGAGAGGAAAAGCGCAGGACGCATTCGGTTGTTCCTCACCACCGTCACCGCGATCACAAGGTAAGTTTGGTGCCCTTTATTGGTCGTAATGGTGGTTTTGGGGGGTCTTTTGGAGGACTCAAGTGAGCTAGACGAAGGAAGCAGGGCTACAAACATCCCGATCCGGAGTCTCCGGATCTCCAACTGTTGCCACGAAGCCTCCCTCTTTTTTCTTTCCGCCGTCCGACACGATGCGACGTCTTATTAACGGGTCATCTAGACGCCTGCACGTTTGTCCCCTATGTTTTTTATTTCATTAATTAGGGCTCAATAGGATGCAACTTTATCTGTCGTTTCGCACTGCGGCCAGTAGCAGCTGGACGGGAACGAACTGTGTTTACAACCACAGCGCAGCGATCGAACACACATCGCACTTACCACATGCTGTTTGTGGACACACTGACGTCTGCACCCCCCCAGGAGGAGATGGTTCTACTGTTTTATTATCTGCATGCTTTGCTTGTGATATTCAACTTTTAAGATCCTTTTTTTCCCGTGTCCATCACCGCCGATGTAATGTTGCATTAATATTCCTCACGTACTTGTGAGACCTGTGTCCCCCCCCTGAAGAGAGGGGTTTGTAGTTTCCAGAGATGCATGGTACTAGATAGCATCTTACTCCCAGTGCCATCGCTTGAATAACTGCCTCTATCCCCCCCCACCCCTCCTCTGCTCAGCTGACAAAGGACTAAAGTGCTTATGGTGACAATATTCCACTAACTTGAGATATTATGTTGAAGCGGCTTCTTTCCCTCCCCCTTTTATTTTGCCTTAATGAAGTAAGTATTAGCTTCAGTTGAATGATTGTGGTAATTACTGAGGAGGACGAGGAGGAGCAGGGGGAGGAAGAGATGGGGGAGGGCCGGCGTCCACACCGGACAGTGAGGGACGACTTGTGTAAAGAGGTGTGGTGGTTTAGGAGGAGGAGGAGAAGTGGGGGGTCTACCCTTTCCTTGTCTTTTTTTTCTTTCTTTTTTACAACCCGGTTGGTGCCACCGGCGGTTACAGACTGGCAGACTGTACAGGGGGAGGGATGGGGGGCTGTGGGAGAAGTAAATGGAGTCCTATGGCCATGTGGGACGGCAGATGATTGCATGCGAAGGCTTCAGGATCCACGTTCTGCCTCCAAGATGTGTGTTTCTTTCTCCATGAAGTGCGTTTGATTGCAGATTGTTTGGCGTGTTTTGAATATGCCACCGTGACATTTGCAAAGGTTAATGTACGTATCATAACTGGTAGAATTCAGCGCATGAGGCGCACGTTGACATTGGCAGTTTAGAGGGACGTAGCGGAGATTAATCTTACCAAAATTCCCCTTTGCTCTGCACTACTACCACACTGCTACTTCATTTGTGAAATCAAGTTCTCAAACCTTTAAGAAGGGACGTAATAATCCATGAAATAAGTACGCTCGGGAGATTATAAAACTCTGCTGGTCTATTTTGGTTGTTAAAACATTCAAGCTGACATCTGCATTATTGTCAGGCCTTGAAAATCCAGTTTTATCCAGGGCAGTTTCAACAAAGACACACACACACACACACACGCATACACGCACGCACCACGCAGCCCTCTGGCCCCAGATGTTAATGCCTCCATTGAGAGAGCCACAGGACTCCTGCCGACACGATCGCTTCATTGTCGGACAGACAATGGACTCCACATCCTGACAGCCAGCCTCCTTCCCATCTTCCCTCAAATACTCCTCACACACATGCACGCGCACGCACACACAATTAGACAGCACACAGTCAGGAAGACAAAGGACCACATGCATCATGCATACATGTAAACTGCGATATTCACGCACACACGTGTGCCGATTCACATCCATTACTCGTATAATGGCCTTTTTAGTTTTCTGTTGTGGCATTTTAGGACAAGTTAGACAATTGTGTTGGTGTGTGTTTTTTTGTGTTCCCCTCTGGGTGTTGTGTTGGGCATGTGTTCTCGCTGCTGGGGCTGTAACAAACGAGTACTTTCATAAAAGACATAATCTGCTGGTTATTTTCCCCCAGTGGGCGAGGTTTTGTCTATTAAATGTCAAAAAACAAAGAAAAGTGTTTCCAGGAGCGAAAGATGACGTCCTCACACAATTGGTTTTATCTGAATCACAGACGCAAACCTAAAGATGTTAGGCTTTTTGACTCACAGGAAGAATCATTTACCAAAATAGTTGCTGATATCGACCTGATACGACTCCAGCTCAGCGTCACCATCGTCGTCAGTCCGTGCTTCCCCATCTCTGTGCACGTGACGTCAACTCTGCTTCACGACACAACAAAAGGGCCGACGCGGCATCGTAGCCGTAACATCGCCGATGCACCAGATGTCTCCTGTCTCGCGTTTGTGCGGTTTAATTGCCGTCCCTGTGTCACATGCGTCGCATCAGTGCAACGGATGCCGTGGCCCACGTGGCGAGCAGCTGAATGCCCAGCAAACCCCCGTGATGACGCGCTGCTTTCTCTCAATTCAACGCCAAGGCTTTGCATGCAGGAACACACACAAACGCACACACACACACACACACACGCAGAGCAGCACTCGGGCTGTGTTCATGAATGGTGTTGTGGGAGCGTATGGATCTGGAATTGCTAACAATCATGTATATGCGCTGGCTTTTTCTCTCCCACATTCTCTGCAGAGCAACAGTTGATGTGCCAGCTTCCCACAGTCGGCTTATTTTCTTTTTTTCGAAATATCCTTTTCATTCCGCCAACAAATTAATTGCCTTTCTATCTGCCCGGCTCTCCTTTCAAAACTCTCTTTCAGCTGAAGATTTGCTTTTGTTTTTGCCGTTTCAAACCGGTGTGTTTTTCCTGCGAGTTGAAGGCAGTTCAAATCTCCGGCCGTGCCCTCTCTGTTCTGATGCTGCATGAACAGAATCGCCCCGACTCGGTACGTGTGTGTGTGAGTGTGTGTGTGTGTGTGTGTGTTTAAATGTGTGTTTGTGTTGAACAGAGATACGGTTCGTGGCAGGCCAGATGCGAGGTCTTGAGAGCAGAAGCAGATGGGTCATGTGTGTGTGTGAGTGTGTGTGTGTGTGTGTGTGTGTGTGTGTGTGTGTGTGTGTGTGCTGGAGGGGAACAAGCGAGAGGCGGGGCTTGGTCGGGCAGGCTGATGTTTAGAGAAGAAGGAAGGGAAGAAGCTTGTTTACAGGACCATCAGTAGAGGGTCAAAGTGATATGAACCGTATGTTTTCTTGCTTTCTTGCGAGTATGTTCCTGCATTTAGTTTTAGTTTTAGTTCATCATCCAGCAGCTTTGGAGGCACAGTCCTGTGTGTGTGTGTGGGGGGGGGGGACGTGTGAGAAAGAGAGCGAGAAGGTGTGATATGTGCACAGCTGTGGACTAAAAATGTCACTTTCACACACGAACATAAAAATCACATTCGCTCACGAACATTAAGAACCTTCACACGTTGGTCCGCCTTTGGCATATTGTGTCTTTTGTAATTAATTACCATTATCAACTTTTGTCGCTTCCTGGACCTGAGAAGAAGCTTCTCGTCCTTCCACCCGAACCTCTTGTAACGTGCACTCATTTCTGGGATTCCTTCGCCATTGCAAAGGAGCTCTATGTTCTCCATCGGCCAGCCCATCAGAACACTCTGGGCCTTTTCGGGGAGGAGGGTCTTAACGAGAAAATTGGGAGTGTGATGTGTCCAGTATCATACTGGAAAAGCAATCTGATTTCATGATTTTGGATATTATTGGAATCGTGTTAACCTTTTGCTAACTGGTCATCCGTGTCTTCGTGTCCTCCCCAGAACCGGTGGTTATGATGTGTGTGTGTGGTTGTATCTCCCAAGATGTAACGCTATGTACTACAAAGCCATTGTATTTATGCAGTTATCATACAAACAAAGTAGTATTTTGTAAATGGGAAATGTCCTTTGATGCGCCACCGCTAATTACACAGCACGAAGGGAAAGTACAATGTTTTTCCAGCGATTTTATACTTATCTTCCTGGAGCTGCCTAAACACCACCTGCGATTCATTTGTATTTTTGCAGCTGTAGCGCGTCGCTTTCGTGGCGCAAACGTCTCCATCAGCAGCACACTAGAAGGTTAAATCACTATATAGTGTGCGTAACAGAATTCATTTAGTTTCTTCTTCTTTCTAGTGTGAATAGAGAAGACCTGCTCACAATATGGATGTGGAACAGTGACAATGCAGCGTTTGGGGAGGTTTTTTTGGTCCTTTTTCCTTATTCTGGGCATGCACTGGGGAATTTCCCAATTTGTGTTTTATCGAGGGCATTGCTAATATTGAACGCAAACACGGCGAAGTCGGGCTCACGCATCACACTGCAAAGCCTCCAGCCCCTCTCAGCGGCTTCAGAGCTCGTTGAGAAGTTTCCTTCAGACGTGGAAAATGGATCCAGAGGCTTTTGGCAGCGGCTGCGACTGCCGTTGTTCCGAGACGAGAAGTGTTTTGCTCCTCTGCAATTTCACCCTCCCCCCCCCCCCCCCGAGCTCTCTCGCCCTTTGCCTCTCTCACCCACTTATACACACTTGTCCCCCCCCCCCCTTTTTCTTCTCCTCGCTCATTTCACTCACGCGTCTGCAAAACGAGCCATTTTGCATGCCAAAGTGTAAGAATCACCACTTATGTAGCTCAACTTCCATTGAACCGACGAGTCCACGTGCAGCCCCGCGAGTGAAAACTACGCTCGGATGAAAAGGGGTACCGCAATCCTTCTGGCGGCACAATGGTAATGTCTGAACCCTAAAGGCCTCGGATGCAGCCTCTATTGATCTTTCTCTCTGAATCAATTCGGCTCAAACAAATGCCGTCCCATAGAGATCATTGTCAGGAATTAACTTTACTGTGAAAAAGAAAAGCAATATTTCCAAAATAATGGATCGCAAAGGCAGCAATACATATTTGCCACTTTCTATGAATGACGCAGCCCCCCCTTTGAGGCAATCAATAAATAAATAAGCCCTGGAGGGAGGAAAAGTGTTTCCAGTAAAGTCAAGCTGGTGGAAAATCCAATATGGTGCATATACTGACGTT